TTTTAACTACTATCAAAACACATATTCAAAACTTTGAAGATAAATTATGACATGTAACAGCTAGCAGATAAATTTAGGATGTGCGTTTACTTCAATTTGAAAGCAACCAGTTATTTTTTCACCAACTTAAGTCAAAGGCTGTGGCCTCAGTAACACTAGAACCTACCACTCATCGATCTAAGCACCAGAATGTCTTCCTCTAAGTTTCTGAATTGCTACAGCCACTTTACACTCAAAGGTTTCTTTTTTTTTGAGTTGGATAGATTAGCTACTGTCGAAATTTGAGCTGCTGCATAGGCTTAAAAGAAAAGGCGAAAATTGTTAACTTTCAGGAATAGTGGTATGATTCAATCTTGACGGTCAGTTGCGTAGTTACCTTCCACTTGTTGCGTTGAATAGCTGATTTACCTCTCGATAGACTTACTGCTATTCTATCAGACTGTCAAACAAAAGGTTGATGGGTCCTTTTAGTGGATGACATAAGACATCAAAATAAGTGTTGAATATATTAATTCTTATAAACTACTTTAGAACTGAAAATTTTAAAGTTGGTGACTGATTTAACAAATTTCAGTGCCGCTAGTGTAACCTCAGTATCATAAGCAATCAAAGTACTATCACTTTACACTTTTTTTCTGCAAAATAATATACCTTCAAGGTACAGATAAATGTATACATACGTATGGAATTTGGTCAGCCTGGCACGGAGTGTCTTCAATGTGTATTAGTCTGCTGATTATGGCACAGTGATAATAATGTATCATTTTGTACTACCTCAAAAATACCTATCTCCATTGGAAGTAGATGCTCAGTGATGCTTTTGAAGTGGAGACAGGAGTGAAACAAGGTTGCCTACTATCCCCCATGATATTCCTGATTGTGGTCGACTGAATCATGCGGCAAACAGTGGGGAGCGAGAAGAGGGGGATATGCTGGACGACGGAAAAGAACCTAGAAGATTTGGATTTCTCCGATGACTTGTGCCTGATGTCATATAAACTTGAAGATCTACAGGCGAAAACTAAAAAGTTGCCTATTGATTTGAGGCAGGGCAGCGAAGATGGGACACCATTCAAGTGAATGTAGAGAAGACAGAGGTGATGAAGATACCCAACCAACAACTCCAACAACAAACTCCAGTCACCATCAACGGGCGAAACCTAAAAGAAGTAACCTCCTTCACCTATCTAGGCAGCACTGTTTCAACTACAGGTGGGACAGACGAAAATGTCAAAGACAGAATCGGAAAAGCAAGACAGGCATTCATTAGCCTGAAACCAGTACGAAGATCTTCTTCACTCCACTCAGCATAAAGCGTGAACAACATCGGGATTTTCAACACCAACTTCAGTCAAGTCAGTGCTTGTGTAGGGTTCAGATACTTGGCGCGTTACGAAAGGGATTTCCAATAAAATACAGACATTCATCAACAACTGCTTACGCTGGCTCTTTACTGAAGCTCAGATGGCCGGAATAATAAGAATAAGCAACAAGGAGCTCTGGGAACGAACCAACCAACAACCTATCACTCAACAAATATGCGGTGGAATGAAGTGGAGATGGATTGGACTGGGCATACACTGAGAAGGCCGACTGAGGACATCACGCGTTAGGCCAGTCACTCCAGTGGAACCCAGATGGGAAGCGATGAGTTGGGTGTCCGAGGTGGGGATGACATGGAGGAGATCGTGAGAGGAGGAAATGAGCTTGTGGGCTGTCGTGGAACCAGGTTCAAAAGATCTCAGAGAACAGAGTGAAGTGGAGACGTGCTACTGAATCCCTATGTTCCACTAGGAACCCAAGGGACTAATAATAATAACTGGAATTAGATATACATAAATCTGAGCATCAGATACTCATAAAATAAACCTTAACCTTCTGTTCTTTTGGCAAATTTTAGGACATTTAAGCAGAAATGTAAGTGAATATATGTCTCATTTCATTCCTTGTAGTGAAAAACATGATAACTTATTCATTCTCTCGTTTCTCAACTACTTCCATGTTGTTCTGCAAACATACATATGAGCTGACATAGTTTCACGATAATTTAACGGTGGATGCACAAATGATAAATTTACGACCGATAATTTAGTTTACCTGCAAACTACATAATATTTTACAAAGTGTAGTACAATATGAAAATGTTCTGACTAACAGTGAACCGGATAGTTTGACCTTAACCTTTTTTACTTTTCGAGGAAATTTTAATCATCCAATCAGTCTGGGTGGCTTTGGGTTCATCGATCTCACCTATTGTAGCTAATCTATACGTGCAAAAGGTAGAATCAGACCAATTTAGCCAACATGATTTAAAACCAACAATATGGCAAACATACGATGACGACACCTTCGTCATAACCAAAAGACAAGGTTTAGAAAGTGTTTTCAAATATCTTAACAGTCGTTTCAATCCCATAAAGTTCATGTTTGAACTAAAAACAGAATTAAGAACGCTAGCTTTCTTAGACTACAGGGCAGTGCGAAGCGATGACGTGACACTTGACACAGATGTCTATAAAAAAGATACACATTCTAACAGGTACATTGACTTCAACTCAGCTCACCCATTGGAAATGTTGCCAAAAACTTGTTGACGAGATCACAAAGGACATCAAATGAAGTGCAATCTCAGCAAGCAGATAGGGAAGTTTCAAAGCAGAACAATTATCCAAATAAGCTAATAGAAAAGTAAGAAAAAGTTTATTGAAAAAGACACGGAAAAACCCAGCTACGAAGATCGGTTAAGTGCTATAGTATTTCCTTATCGCACATCCATATCAGAGAAAATAAGACGTATCCTTAATAGTTACAACATCCGAATATTCTTTAAGGTTATGAACACATTATACTCACATCTGTGTAAATGAAAAGACCTGATTCTCCATTTGGAACAACAGAACTAGGTTTATAAGATAGATTGTAGTGAATGCGGTGCCACATACATTAGCAACGCTTCATGTAACGTACTAATAGGTCTCACCGAAGAAGGTCGAAGCCGCACGAGAGAACCGAAAAATTCCGGTGATCTGGAAAAGCCTGAAAAAGACTTTGACATTGCTGCTCATGCCTTATTTTCAGGTCATAAAATATCCTTTGAAAAGAGAAAAGTCCTGCAAAAGGGCTTTTTTTCACAAAGACAGGGCCATTGCAGAAGCTTTGCATATCTATTCTTATCCTTCTTCTATTAGCAGAAAAGATGGGTTAGACATCCCACAAATATGGCAGACACTAATAACTCACATAGACAGTTGTGAATAATATATGAGGAGAAGGTAGAACACAACTTTATATCACCGTATTCCATATGATTTACTCCGAATTTACTAATGTTTGAACAGTTTCCGGAGTTATTTAGCTAAATAGTCTTAATCACTTTTAAAAAATACTGGTTGTATCTTGACAATTTTTCTAATCTTAATCCATAATATCACTATTAATTCATATACTTGTAATTCCCTGTTGTTTCCATAGCACCTATTAGCACATGGGCTCCTATGCGGATGCCTCGATATTACCTGCGTGTTGATTGTGATAATCTGATTGGTTGTGGCTAGCAGAGGAATCCAGGACGCATGTTTCGTCCAACTTGAGACTCGTCAGCTGGATGTACCTGCACCCTAGTGAGTGATGTTTTTCCCACTTAGACTCAAACCTCATACCCATCACTTCAAACGCTAAGGCGTTATTGACTCTGCTACCCAGGAGTGATAGCCACTTCTTGTACAGCGTGTCGTAGTTAATACTACTGCCCTAACCCTAACCACATTTAATCAAATTACCGTGATCAAAACATAGGAGCTACCGAGGCATCCACATTGGAGTCCGTATGCCCATAGAGATTGAGCAATTCGATCCAATAAAACGACGGAGAATAACAAGTATATCAACAAATTGTAATAAATAATGCCCGTTGTAAAAGAAGCGGTTATCGTTCATCCGTGGCATAGTGAATAAGACCTTGGAGTTTGAAGTGATGGGTACGAGGTTTGAGTGTCAGTAGGAACATCATCACTTATTGAGGTGTAGGCACATCTAGCTGACAAGTCCCAGATAGGACGAGACGTGCGTACTGGATTTCTCTGCTAGCCACAACCAGCCAAATTACCACTACGTAATACTTTACTGATCTATTGTTTTCATCAAATTTACGATCCTTTCTGAGTTATATACATTCTATGCACCACTGTATATGTTACATAATCCATTTTTTTTATTATTCATACTCAACTGTTATCAAAAATAACCGAATCGTTAGCACTATTATTATCATTATTGTTATTTATTATATAATGTTTGATGTTCAAAAATGCATCTTTCCAAACCAGTAACCTCATCTCTCTCATCTTTGATAACTCACAACCTCACTGTACCTTTCATAGCCGAAATAAAATTCCCCACTCTATTTTTGTTCCACCTTATTTGCACAACTGAAAAAACCTCTCTGACAGATCTGGTAATTGACTCACGTGTATTACATTGATCATTGCTCCATATCACAATGTAAGTCGATGATCGTAAAGGTCAGCACCTGTAACAAAACTTGAATATTAACCCGAAAACTTAATGTCAGATCCATACTTTTGAAAAAGATCTTCCTAGCAAGATCGAAGCGTTGAGGAATAATGGACAAATTATTTGTTTAGTTTGTTATTTGTTCTAATATACTACACCGAGATTATGCAAGTAAAAATACACCTGATACGATGTGGTAAGATTTATTCACGAGCATGTACTAACTTAGTAGTAATATAGATAATGGATATAGGTGAACGAGATCCTATGTAGAATACTACTTCGAACTGGTCGTTTATGGATAATCTCGATAAGGTTTGTACTTAGTTACTGAATTCAACCATTTATGCCGACATGCAACTTGAAAAATTATCAACTCCTTTAAATATCGTCATAATATGAAAATAACCCTTTAGGACTTTTTTATTTTCTTTCTGTGATTTAGCTGTTACCTATTTTTATACATATTTCAATGCCTTTTTTTATAGTGTGTCTGTCTTGCAAAATCCTGGAGGAATGTGAAGAAATTGTTTGCAGTAATATCCCAGTCAATGGAACTTTTGTCCCAGAATACGTGATTGGATGTGAATTGGCCTGTCCTTTCGGTAAAATTTCTTGTCAAAAGAATGAAGATAACAGCATCGCTTGGTCGCCATCTGATCCATGTGCACAATCATTAACGACGACGACAATAACAACAACAACAACAACAACTGACACCAGTCCCCTAACTACTTTGAACATTATCTTAGATTCAACTACTACCTTACAATTAAATGTGACCTCTGTTTTTAATGATTCTAACGAATCCTTCATAAGGTTACAAAGTACTCCTACTCAAAATGTTGGCACAGATCTTCCAATTGATTTAGATAAATATGTCGGCCTTTCAAAATCATGGACTTTATTCTGGTTGATACCTTTGATATTGTTCATCACACTGCCTACCTTATTTTTATGCTGTCTAGTTATTCATCATTTTCATAAGAAGAAAGGTAAAGTCAAATTTCCTTTGTCTAAAAAACACACTGTTGATATTCTAGATCCTTCTGCATCTTCTTGGACCAGATGCTCTCAACCATACACATTAGGAACACTAATAGGTCAAAATGGTCAATATACACAGGAAAAAAGTATGAAACGCGAATCCAGTGAGTCACCGACCAAGTGTCGTAAAAATGGCCACAATACAAATGATGTACCAATTCCGAAATATAGTAAATTTAGACCAACAAAACAGTCTATGCGAAGAAGAGTGTCACCAAGTTTGAATAGAAGACTTATTAACTGGCAAGATTCAGGTATTCATGACTTTGCTATTCCACCTAGTCCAAAATTTGCATCAACGATGAACATGAGTAAAACTTCACTAAACTATTCAACTCCTGGTGAAAGTTCATCTCAAACTCCTTTATATTTGAGGAGTTCATCTTCACATATCCTTTCAGAAACCTTACCCATTAGTTCACAGTATACCAAAGATTTCAGGTCAGTCAGTCAGTGTAGTATGTTATTTCCACAAAGACTGAATCTACAAGACAAGTTTTCAACTGATTATGATTTTCATGATAGTCGAACAATTACAACATTTAATCCTCCAGAAAATTGTGACTATCTTGGATACTCTATTAACAATAACCATTATGATCGAACAGTGGTGACAATAAATGATGAAGATATTGATGATGCAAATGGCAATACATCCGACCAGGTATCTTCAATTACTTTGCAGCCGATAACTCAACAGATAAACTCAGAAGTACATAATTATCAACCATTTAATGCATTTACTGATATTGAACATGAGAATACAATGTATGACTCAAACTATAATGATTGGACGATAGGTGAGACAACTATTCAACGAATACCTCGTATTTAAATTATTAGGAGAATGGTGTTCAATGTCTTTATACTTCCTTTCTTTTTCATTTCAGACATATATTTCTTTGTATAAAAAAATATTAGGAAAATATTTGTAAAAATATTAAAGAAAGATTAAATGTAGTTTTATGACGATAAATTAACCATTATCTTTATTTAACCTTTTGTTGTAATGTATAAACTGACATACCAGACACATAAACTATGCTATCAAAGTCTACTATTATGCGAATCAAATAGATATCACTGTCAAAACTGTCTTCGATAATTCACAATACGATTCATTTTCTTCTTTGTGATATGCTGAAAGAAGACTGCAATGTATACTTCTACTGGCATTTTCTTATAACTTTTTATCATATCTTGTAAATTATGATATAAATAAATATAAAAATATATATAAATTAATTATTTCATTTGAAAAGTCTTGTGTGTTAACACACTCTGACTGTTATGCAAGTTTGAAGTTGTTTTCAAAAACGCCAGTGTTTGGTTTATACTAACAAACTTCACTGTTTCTTAACTAGTATGCCAAGTTTTCTTCTTTTCACTGTTAAGTGCCAAAAATAACCATTGGTGAAATAATAACCAAATAAATGAAATTATCCACCTAATAATTTCTTTTTAAGGAAGCAGTATAGTGAACATTCTAGTATTACTTTATTAGACATCACTGAATGCTGTTAAGTTACTGTTACCTCAACGACCAGTTTAGCTTTTTCTTCTTACTACTTACGAACAATAATAGCCGCTTAGTGTTTGAAAGAGGTGATGAACATACCCAAACAACAACAACAACAATCACCAATCACCATCAACGAGAGAAATCTGAAGGAAGTTATTTATCTCTTTCACCTACCCACCTACCTACCTAGGCACCATCGTTTCAACTACAAGCGGCCACATAGACGAGGATGTCAGAACAAGGATCGGAAAGACAGCACGAAATGCCTTCCTTCATTAATCTGAAATCAGTGTGCAGATCTACTCCACTCCACTACACTGCCCTCAGCATAACGCATGAACAACATCTGGATTTTCAACACTAGTGTCAGTCAAGTGAGTCAGTGCTTCTATGTGATGGTTGGGAGACTTGGCACGTCACGAAATCCATTTCCATGAAACTATAGACATCATACATAAACAGCTGCCACCTACGCTCACTCACTCGACACTGAAGATCAGATGAGATGGCCAGAATATCAAGAATAAGCAACAAGGAAGTCACTCTGGCTGGCTGGCAACAAATCAACAAAGAACCCATCGCCCAACTAATATGCAGAAGAAAGTGAAGATGGATTGGGTTGGATTCCACATAGACTGAGGAGACCACTTGAGAACACCACGCGCCAGCCCAAATCCTTGAGGGGAATCCAGATGGTAAAGAACGAGTTGGACGTATGAGGGTAACATGGAGGAGATAGTGTATGAGGAAGAAATGAAAGCTTGTGAGCAGTTGTGGAGCCAGGTTAAAGAGACTGGAGAGAAGAGAGTGAAATGGCAAAGTATTACTGAGGCCCGATGTTGTACTAGGAACGCAAGGGACAAATAATAATAATGCATGTTTTTGAAATAAAACTGTGACCGGATGCACCGAATGACTTTTTTCTTTTGATGCTAGGAGTCTTTACTTGTTTTTGCAAAAGAATTGAAAGTTCGTCGTTCAAGCTGACACTTCTCATAAATGAGTAATTCTACATCTGGCCAACTATGGTGTAAGAAGGAATTCCTCTGGAGATCATCCATCCAGAAACCAAACCGTATGATTTCTAGCCAATAACTCGATTTTGAGTTTTGAAACCAATTATTTCGTTCATATTTCGTAAGCAGCATTCTAGGAATTAGATTTGAGGACCAGTGGGATTGGGTTGGCCTTGGTTACCTAAGTCTTTACAAAAGAGTTAGTGTAGCATTGACCACATGAAGTCTAACACTTTTGGTCTGAGCTGTATCAGTAAATACAGATTTTTTAGATGTCAATAGAAACCAGTGGTTTGAAACTCTGGGTTAAACGGCTCAGAATTGATCTCAGTGGCGAAGATGTAACCATATACTAGCCTCGTTTTAATCATTATGTTGAGTTTAGTAGTTTCTCATTCCTCTTTCCTCTCTTTTACTGGGTTTTACTTCTTTTGACCGATTTATCTTTATTTTTTCATCTTTCATCCTTCAGCCTTCATGCTTGACGTGCTGATATGAGGTATGGTAATTCGAAGCGCTGTGAATTAATGTCTGGTCTAGTGTTGATGATAACTTCTTACAGGGTGAGATTATATACAAAGATTGGTCATTAGTGAGTAACCGCGATCGGTCAATTCGTTAAATAATAATATCAGTAATAGCTATAGAAGGATGAAAGTTATAAGAATTTACCTAAGACCCACTGAACAGTGATTAGGCATAGGATAATGGGCAAAGCATATCGGTTGTGTCAATTAACTCGGTTATGGCGCACAGATGATTTCAAAATGCAAGTTTCATCCTATTTAGGACTCGTTGGCTGGATGCACTTGCAACCCAGTGTGTTGTTGTTTCCACTGAGACTCTAACCTTGCACCCACCACTCCAAATTCCAAGCCCTATCCACTAGGCAACTAAGGCACGATAACCACTTCTTGTACAGTGGGTATCAGTAATAACTATTCATTGAATACTTGTAATTCTTAGTTGTTTTATTCGATCGAATTGTTTGACCTCTACTGGTAGATGGGTTACTATGCCAATGCCTCAATATTGCCTGAATTTTTATTATGACAAGTTAACAACGAAAAATTATAAGTATATCAACAAATAGTCATAACTAACACCCGCTGTACAAAAAACGGTTATCATACCTCAGTGGCTTAGTGGATAACGCCTCGGTGTTTGAAGCGATGGGTACGTGGTTCGACTCACAGATAGAACAGCATAACTCACTAGGGTGGTAGGCATATCCGAATGACGAGTCACAAATAGGACAAAGTGCGCATCCTGGATTCCTCTTCTAGCCAAAATCAAGCAAATTATCATAACAAATATTCAGGCAATATCGAGGCATCCAGATAGAAGTCTACATGCTAACAGCGGTCGAGCAATTCGACCCTGCATAACAAGAGAGAATTACAAGCATATCAACAATTGATAAAGACATATCACTGATAATCAGAGGTAACGAAAACAACGTGAGTTCGACTCCTGAAAGGCTATAATTCTTACTGTTTGGAGACCAAATTAAAATGGTACTGTCTAAATATTCATAATAATTCCAATTACTCTGAGAATGACAATAATGGTCGCTTTATTTGAAGAAAAGATGAATTTGAGAAAGCAACATATTGATTACTGTGTTGTACACGCAGATAACAAGCCTGTCAACACATGATCTGGATAACTAGGAAGTTAATTCTATTGGATCATCAACTTGAACAAGTAGGCTGCATTTTTCGAAAAGAAAGCTACTAAACTGATAAGTCACCTAGTATGAAATTTTATCTGATAGCTCTAGAGACGCTATAGTTTTATCTGTCAGATGGTACCGGTTAGAATTACCGTTGGGGAACAGAATTTAAAATTTTTACGTAGGTTGTTTTGTTTTTAGAATTACCTATCTCAGTTGAACATCATTTTGTTAATTGATATTAGTTAATTTATATCCCTATTAGATTTGTTTATATGATTTATAACACACAGTGGATTTAGTATTATTTACTTGATGACGTTTCGAGCATAAATTATTCCTCATAATCATATCAATGTAATCACATTACTTTCGACATTTGATTTTCATAATTACGTCACTTTATATGACTTGTTTTTTATCGGTAGCAAAATTTCCCATATCTTTGGTATAGGTGTTGCGTCATTTCGTTTACATTTGTGAGTGTTGGTTCGATGGATAAAGATTCAGTAATCAGTCTCTTTCTCCACCTGATTATATTGGACTTAATTACAGTAAAAAAAACAAGATATTCAGCGAAGAGGACTCTTTTCAACGAATTTATTCTCAAGCTGTACTTTCGTATACATATACATGACATTTAAAGACTTTAATCCATGAGGAAGATTTAACTGAAACAATGGAGGGTTGAAACAATCATAATGATGGTGGTGATAATTATAATGTTGATAGTTGATGACGTAAAGGTAGAATGGTAACAAAAAGGGGTTACGTAAGACTTTCAAGTCGTTTATAAAGTGCATATAGATTGAGAGGGGGTGAGATCGTTAATAAGCAATCAAAGGGTTAGGTAATATAAATGAGACAAGTTAACTGGAGTAAATTGAACATGTTTTGTTAAGAGTCGCGATAATTAGGGAGATCAAATGAAATAATACTGGAAACAAATGAATACAAAAAACAGAGTGATAATGACGATATAAGAGTATAAAGATTAATCTGACAAAAAAGGGGGAAGGAGTGAAAAATGAAAAAAGAGGACGAAGTGCACCAAGATTAAAATAAATTAAGGCCAAGGTAGAGACAAAGACTGTACGTACTTCTTTTGCACACAAAGGTCAGGCTTCAGTTAATGGATAGTCAAGGCCTCTGCTGTTTTTAGAATCTGAACATGGAGGAAACGTGAGGTGTTAAGGTGAATTCGATAGACAACCTTCAAATCCTTGTTTATGTCGGCTGAATGGTTGGAATCGACTAAATACTCAAGGTTAGAACTTTGGTTCCATTCCCTTCGACCCTCATAAAACCAGGAAGGAATATGTTCTCGTATACTTGTTGACAGCAATCTCTGACTACGGCCGACGTACCTTGCTCCACAGGAGCAGGTGAACTGGTAGATACACGTGGATGTGGCCTGTCCTGAGATATTGTCTTTTATACAAACGGAGAACATTTTATGACTGGTAAAGATCAAGTGAAGTTTTGCTGCGAAAAAAGTCCTACTAATTGATCTGGAAAGACGATTTTTCAGGATATCTGATGCTGCATCACCTTTGAAGTCCAGGTTCATGAACAAAGCCTTTTTTTGACACTGAGCTAGTGACTGGTTTCGCATATGTTTTTTGCGTATTCTTATCGACAAATCGTCCAATATACCCGCTTTCCACCAGCGTCCGTCTTAGAAAGTCGAGTTCAAGTTAGACACACTCCGTGCTACAAATATTACGTATTACATGGCACAGTGAGCGGATGACGTTTCTCTTCCTTATGATCGGTACCCAGCTATAGAAATTGGTGAGTTGTCCATTTTATATGGGTTTCTTGTAGATGGATCTTTTCAACATTCCATTACTACACCTCCTTATCAGTACGTCAAGGAAAGGAATAGCTGATTCCAATTCCTTATCAATAGTGAATTTCAGTGCTGAGTAACAATTATTAAACTCGCGTTGGATGTCATCCAGGTCGATAGTTGAGTCGCAAATAACGAATATATCATCCATATATCGTTTATAGATATCAAAATACCTAATAGTTTGGCTAGGAATAGAATTTTCTAGTTTTAACATGAAACAATCTGCCATTAGAGGTCCTAGTAGGGATCTTATTGCAACTCCATCATTTTGCCGGTATACCTCACCATCGAAACTAAATTGCACATTTAAAATACATCTCATCAATAGCTCTCTCAAGTAGTTTGTTGGAATTCCTACTTCTATATTGTGTG